GTGCCCGCACGAGGTATTTTGTGGAAGAGCCACACTCAAGGGGCCAAAAGAGCCACGTGTGGCTCGCGAGCCGCAGTTTGCCGACCACTGCCCTTGGAGGTCACAAATCCCGGACTGACCTAAGGGAAATGTGGGCCGGCATGGCATTTCCCTGGCTCAAACTCAACCCACTCCCTGCCACTAACTCCAAGCTTTAAAAGGGAATCAGGGCGGCCTCTCTGGCTGGCCCAGGAATTCCTGGCTGAAGTTGTTCTTTAAACACTTCCCCGGGGTGAAGGGTCATAATGACATTACGTTGACCTTGACCCAACCACAGCATAGTGAAAACATGCACTGGACTTGGAGCCCTTCCCAGTTTCTAGCTTTGTGACCTTGGACAATATACTTAACCTCTCTGAGCTTACCCTCCTGCTGGGTAAAATGGGCATAAGGTGGTTAAATAAAACCGCAAGGTCCCCCACAGCTGCAATCAGTGGGAGAATCAGAGGGACAAACCCGGGATCCATAGCGCTGAATCAGAGTCATTCCCAGACCAGGATGGACATCAGGTGGGATCTCATGTGACAGCCACCCCCACAGCATCTCAGGGCTACCCCACCCCCACCCACCCCCGTCTACGCAGGGCCACTGGGATTAGGGTGAGGCAAGTGAGACACAGAGACAGGATCAAAGTTCCTGATTTTTCCTCCCACCTCTGGCTCCAGCAGTCTCTGCACAGCACTGTTCCCGATCCTGACTTTATCTAGCATGTTGATAGACACTTACCTAAAATGTTTGTTCATCGTGGACTTTTTGCATTCACTTTAGTCTACTAAGATATTGTATTAAAATAGTACTTATCTTGATGACTGAGATTTTCGACACCACCTTACATTTTGTATCTGAGGAGGATACCTCACTCTCCTCATTCCAGTCCCTGCTCCAGATGGACACACAGACCACTTCCTGCCCTCGGTTCTACCAGGCAGAGGCCCGTCCCAAAATCCTCAGAGGAGGAGATTTCCTCAGATCCCCCTGGGGAGTGGCCCCCATGCACTCCCTCCCCTAGCACCTTCCTCCCGAGCTCCCACGGCGTACCCCGCTTTGTGTACCCAGGGTGATGCTGAGTCCCCAGAAGGATGACACTGGATATCTGAGCAGGCCCCACCCTGGGGAACCCCAAGCCGGGCTCAGCCTGGGCATTCCCAGGCGAGTTTCGAGGTGGGAGGCCCACGGTGAAGCAATTTACACAGCAGCAGCCCCAGTCACACTGAGCCCAGCCCACCTGCAGCACAAATAAAGGGGAGGCAGTCTCACTTCAGCAGGACTCAGACACACCTGCTGAGAAGAGGGACCCCTCACTGTCAGCCCAGGTGAGCAAGAAACCAGCTCCTCGGACACAGTCAGGGTCCAGAAGGCCCAGGCCCAACCCCTGCTTCCAGCTGCATCTAGTGGCCGGGGATCCGGAGCTGGAACTGGATGAGAGAAGACATCTCCTAGTCCCCTGGGCTCACAGTGGCCTTGGCAAAAATACTCCCCAGCCCCTGTGCCCATTCTCTGCCTGAGCCTGAAGTGCTGGCAGCAAAGACAGGAGGCAGTGCCAACTTCAGGTGTGTCCTCTCCCCTCCCCCAGCACAGCCAGTCCTACCAGTTGGGCTGGCAGCTGAGAGCCCCCTGTGGTGGCCGGCAGCAGCTGCAGCTACGGAATGATCAGGAAAGGAAGGGGTAGGGCTTGCTGGATGGGGCAGTTCCTTGGAGTCTGAACTACCTGGCCTCCAGATGCCTCCTGGCTTACTGAGCCTTGACCTCCGCCTGGGAGGGAAAGGATAGGATGGGGGAGCCCCTGATGTCCTTGACTCGGGGCACTGTCCCCACGCTCCCCCTGCCTCCCGCCCACAGCTCTGAAAGAGGCAACCATGTCATTCACCCCTGGACTTTGACAGTGGCCAAAGGCACCACTCAGTTCTCCATGCCTGTCTCTTTCTAGCTCCGCTGAGGTCTCTGCTGAGGTCAACCGGATATGGCCCCCGGAAGCTGGAACCCCACAACGGCAGTCCAGGGTATCCTCTGGATCCTGCTTGGCTTGTTGCTGTGTCCGGGACCAGGGACAGGTAGGTCAGAAGGCAGAGGCCTGCGGCAAGGACAATCAATTCTGCAGAAGTATCTGCTATCCCCTCTGTGTCCAGCCCTCTACAGGGTAAGACTGGAGTCCTCAGGAGACCCCAGTCTCGAGGAACCTCCAGTCTGGGGACACAGATTCTCCCAGCCCTACAGGGTCAAGGCAGGGGTTGGGGGAAAGCCTGGGGCCAGAAGAGCAAAAATCAGGAAGGCTTCCCGGAGGAGGAGACACAGATTTAGGACAGGAAGGAGACTTACTTGGGGAGAAGCAGGAAAGGGCATTTTAGGCAGCGAGAAGAACAGAGGGATTATAGTATGGACTGTCTGGAGAAGAATCAGAATTCCTGGGTTAAAAGTCCTGCTTCTGCCACTTCCTGTCTGTGTGACCTTGGGCAGGTCATTTAACCCCTCTGGGCTCATGGGGTCATTGTGAAGATTAAATGTGTTTTTGTGTGTGTTACCTAGAATGGCGCCCAGCACAAAATAAATGTTTAATAAATGTTAGCTGTTATTCAACAACCCACCCCAGCCCTGAGCCTAGCACTTCTAGGTTCCAGGTTCAGCTCTCACAAGGCCCATCCTCTCCCCATCCTCTCCTCCCCTGAGCACCTCGCCCTATAAAATTCCCCAAAGTCCAACCCAAAACACAAAAACTGTCCACCTTTCCCTCAAACTACCTGGGGACTCTGCCCACTATTGGCCATCACACAGCCATCACTTAGCTTTAGCAATCTCTATTGCTCACCTCCATACTGTTTCCCCTTCTCTACTCTAGCCTCCTGAACATTCATTCTCCACAGGCAGCCCAAGGAGCAATCTTAGAATGCCAGCCTGGCTGCATCTCACTCCTGCTCATGAACCTGCCATGGCTCCCCAGTGCTCACAGATTGTCTAAGCTCCTTAACCTGTTGTCTGTGCCTCCGTTTCATCATTTACATGAGGATGGTGTTGGGGCATCACAGGGTAGTCGGGGGGGGGGGGAGAAAGAGAGAGAGGGAGAGAGAGGGAGGAGAGGGCACTGAGAAGAGGTGGAAGGAGCAGAGGGAGGCTCAGGAACAGGGGGTGCTGGGCCACGGGGTTAATGCCATCCCTCCTTCTACAGCGTCCCTGCCCCTACTCATGGACTCTGTCATCCAGGCTCTGGCTGAGCTGGAGCAGAAAGTGCCGGTCACGGAGGCCAACCACACTGTCTCTGTGTGGCACCTGTCAGCCTGGGACTCTGATCCCCAGGATCCCCTCCATCACTTCCTGCTAAAGGAACGAAGTCCCAAAGTCACCAAGTTGGATCCTTCTGCACTGAGCCCGGAGCTGCAAGGCCTGATGGAGGAGGTGGCCCGACATGCTGTGCGGGGTGGGCGGGAATACGGGGTGGTACTGGCCCCCGATGGCTCGACAGTGGCTGTGGAGCCTCTTCTGGCAGGGCTGGCAGCAGGGCTGCAGGGCCACAGGGTCATAGACTTACCCTTGGGCAGCACAGCCACCCCTCTGGGTGCCGGAGACACCTTTCCAGATGTGGGAGCTGAGGTTTCTGATGCAAGAGCCACCTCCCCAGGACTCAGGAATGTCTCTCCAGATGTCAGCTCTGCAGATGTCAGGGCTACGTCTCCAAATGTTAGAACCACAGATCTCAATGTAGGAGCCATCTTTAAAGATGACAGAGTCACCTCTCCAGATAACCAAACCTCCTCGCCAGATGCCAAAGCAAAGTCTCCGACCACTGTGGACAGCCTCCTGGTGGTCACCTTGGCCAGAGACCTGGGCCTGGCCTTCCTCCAGAACCCCCAAACTCAGAGCCACCCAGGCCTGGGAGCTGAGGGCTGCTGGGACCAGCTCTCTGTCCCCAGGAACTTCACACTCCTGGACGCTGAGGCATCACCGGTTACCACAGCCTTCCTCAACGGTGCTCTGGATGGGGCCCTCCTTGGGGACTACCTGAGTCGGGCCCCTGAGCCCCGGCCACCCCTCCACCACCTCCTGAGCCAGTACTATGGAGCTGGGGTGGCCGGAGATCCGGAACTTCGCAGCAACTTCCGACGGCAGAACGGAGCTGCTCTGACTTCAGCCCCTGCCCTGACCCAGCAGGTGTGGGGCGCCCTCATCCTGCTACAGAGGCTGGAGCCAGCACACCCTCAGCTGCAGGGCTTGAGCCAAGAAGAGCTGGCGCAGGCGGCCACCCGTGCCGCCAAGGAGTTCACTGAGGCCTTCCTGGGTGAGAAGGGCCCCCGACCCCTGTGACCCTCCCTCCGAGACAGACACTCTCAGTCCCATGAGGTCCGGGGGATCCAGGACTAGGGGTTCCAGAGGGAGCAATAGGGCTCTGGCTGGGGAGCCAGGGCAGCTGTACAGGTGAGGAAAGGCTAGATTCGGGTCTTGAACCCCCCCCCCCCCACACACACACACAAACACACACACTCCAAAAAAAAAAAAAAAAGTGAGAAAGAAGGCATTGCCGGGGATGGGCTCAGCACATGCAAAGGCACGGAGATTGCAATGAAGTTCAGCCTATGCAGCTAGGTGAGCTGCTTCACTTCTCTGAACCCCACTTTCTTCCGAGAAGCAGGGTAAATCTTCTACCTCTTGGATTTGCTGGATGGTTTGAGAAAGATGAAGCTTGTAAAGCAAGTAGCACACAACTAGAGCATAATAAATGCGGGCCAACGTTCCTCTTTTCTCGGTGTGGCTGTCTCTCCTAGGGCTCAGAGCAGGGCCAGCTGCAGAGAGTGTTGTAAAGATCCTGGGTTGAAAAGATCCTTGGAGTCTGAACTACAGTTCTTGGGGTTTATCCCGAAGCGGGTGGGAGGCATAGCCAATATTCCAATAGAACTGAGATGCTGTTGGATCCGTGGTTAGATCCCAAAGGAGGCTGGGGAAGTGGCCCCTAGGTGCGCTCTAACGGAGGTACAGGCGGCAGAAAGAGAAACGGTGGCTCACCCCAGCCCTGGACGCCCTTCCCCGCAGGGTGCCCGGCCATCCACCCCCGCTGCCGCTGGAGTGCCGCTCCGTACCGGGGCCGCCCGACGCCGCTACGGCTGCCGCTCGGGTCCTTGTACGTGCATCACACATACCTGCCCGCGCCTCCCTGCACCACCTTCGCGCGCTGCGCGGCCGACATGCGCTCCATGCAGCGCTTTCACCAGGATACGCGTGGCTGGGACGACATCGGCTACAGGTAGGCGGGGTCTGGGAGGGGGCGAAGCCGGTTACTCGGCGCAGAGCCTGGGTGGGCGGAGCCTAACGCGGGGGGGCGGGTTGGACCAGAGCAAACCTGGAGAAACGGAAGAGCGGGGCGGGTGGAGCCAAGGTGGAGAGGGGCGTGGCCTAGACGAGGGCGGGGCCTTTACAGTGGGACCAACTGTGGGACCCTTGGGTCCGGGGTAAGATAGGGGAAGGAGGCGGCACCTGGGAGAGGGGCAGGACCAGTGATGAGGGCTGAGGCTGGGACAGGGGCGGAATAGTGATGGGGTTGAGCCTAAGACAAAACGCTGTGAATTGAGACAATGGGGAGGGGGCGGGACAGAAAGGGGCGTGGCCAATGCCAGAGTAACCGGAGGTTTTCTGCAGTGACATTTGGTGGAGGAGTGGGACGTTGCTGGGCCAGGCATAGGGCGACCAGGCAGGACTTGGCATAGATATGGGGCAGGGCAACCCTGACGCCGCGCGATGCCTGCCCCCCTCTCCGCAGTTTCGTGGTGGGCTCAGACGGCTACGTGTACGAGGGCCGAGGCTGGCACCGGGTAGGCGCGCACACTCTAGGCCACAATAGCCGCGGCTTCGGCGTGGCCTTCGTGGGCAACTACACCGCGGAGCTGCCCGCCGAGGCCGCGCTGCGCACGGTGCGCGACACGCTTCCCAGGTGCGCGGTGCGCGCTGGCTTCCTGCGGCCGGACTACACGCTGCTCGGCCACCGCCAGCTCGTGCGTACCGAGTGCCCCGGCGACGCGCTCTTCCACCAGCTGCGCAGCTGGCCGCACTTCGACGTGGTGAGTCTGCGACGTCCGACGTCCGCATGACCTGGGCCTGCCCCCCATGTGACACAAGCTCAGCCCCTGACCCTGGCCTGTCTGCCCAACCTCAGCAGGCCCCTCTCTTCCCTGTAACCCCTACGCTCACACAGCTTCAGCCAGGCCCCTGGTCTCCCTTGCAGCCCTTCTATTCCGGCAACCTAGTCCCAGCCTTTAAGCTGTTCTGCTCACAACATTTCCTGTCCCCTGTCCTCTGCGTGCACAACCTTAGCCTGGCCCCTGACCCAGCCAGCTTGTTGTTTGCCCAGCCTCCAATACGTCTGCGCTCACAACCAGGGCATGGGCCCTGATTCCTGCAGCAGCCCCTCTGCCCTCACAACCGCATCACCTGTACCCGAGTCACATCGCTGCTGCCTGCACAACCTCATCCCAGCCCACCTAACCTTGGCCTCACCCCGGCCCCCTACCCAAAAGACCTCTGTATACCCAACAGTAACCTAAGTGGTGTCCCTCTACCAAAAACTGCTTTGCCTGCACATCTCCGTCCAGCTCCTAACTGTGTGTTGCAGTCTTCTGCCCAGACCATCTCAGCCCTAAGGTTGCTTGCTCTGCCCCAGCCTCCCTGACCTTTGATGCTGCAGCCATCTAGGCCCAAACAGCACAACCTTGGCCCCAGTCCCTCGATGAACACACACCTCCACTCACACACCTGCACAATCTTGTGCTACCTGCACACTCCCATTCTGTTTCATGAAGATGGCCTGCCGTCCGTGTGTCCCCATCCCCTCACTTTGTCCTCTTCCTCAGGCTCCCACCAGGAGCAGAGGAGACCCAGCCTCACCCACCCCTAAGCCTCACAGTCTCTTGCCTTTTCTAGAATGTACAGCCAAAGACTGCCAAGAGCGCCTCCAGGAGATCCAAGAGGAACCCGCCTCTAGTGACCATGCCGGCCACAGACCTCCAATAAAGAGACTGTGTGAAGAAAGCCTGTGTCTATGCATCATCCGTGTTTGCCCAGAATCAGACCCTGAGATAAAAGTTCCAGTGCAAGTAGCGTGGGAGGCGATCCCAGGACAGATTATTTGGGGAACAAGGAAGAGAGATAGGAAAAGGAAGGAAGCTCAGAAAGGGTGCTTTACCAAGCAAGTTGGCACTGGGGCACATGGAGCTCAGTCCCACTAGGGACTTCTGGAGGGCAGCATAGGATACGAATCTCAAAGTTTTCCCACCCAAGAAGTGAGGGGACTGGGGTATTGATCCTCCAAATCCCACAGTCATTGGCTGAGGGCTTCTCTCAGGGAAGTGCTAATTCTCTGGCACTTTGGGGCTGCTTGTTGCATGGGCTCCATCTGTCAGAGAAAGTCCTCCAGCAAAAATTGCAGGGAGTTGGGAGTGGAGCCAGTATGCAATCAGGTGGTAAACACTCAGGGATGCAGCAGAACTCAGGGAGACTCCACGTGTGTGTGTGTGTGTGTGTGTGTGTGTGTGTGTGTGTGTGTGGTGAGTAGCCTGACACAGTATGAATAAGATGGGCATATCTAAGGGGTGTGCACCTGCCTGAACACCCTCCTCCTCAGGACGGGTTAGACCAGTGGTTCTCAACCTTTCTCATGCCGCGACCCTTTAATGCAGTTCCTCATGCTGTGGTGACCCCCAATTTCATGGTTACAAATTGAACATAATTAAAGCATAGTGATTCATCACAAAAAAATATGTAATTATATATGTGTTTTCCGATGGTCTTAGGCGACCCCTGTGAAAGGGTCGTTCGATCCCCAAAGGGGTCGCGACCCACAGGTTGAGAACCGCTGGGTTATAGACTTTGTGAGGCCCAGTACAAATGAAAATGCAGGGCCTATTGTTCAAAAAGCAAGAACTTCAAGACAGTGATAGCCGAGCATTAAATCAAATGTAGTGTGGAGCTCTTCTGCGTGTGGGCTCCTGGGGTGACTGCACAGGCCGCACATCCATCGAGGTGATCCCACCCACCCCACCCCCTGGATTCCAGTCTCCCTTGCCTTTTCACAAACTGTTCCTTCTCCCTAGCCTGCTCTTCCCATGGCCAGCTCCTTCTCATGCTTCAGGTTGCAAATGTCACCTCCTCAGGGAGGCCTTCCTGGATTTTTCCAGTTCAGAGAGCATTCCTTCTGCTCAGCCTCTCTACTCCAGTCTGTCTATGTTCTTCCAAGTCCTCCTCACCAGGTAGAGATGTCTGGCATCTGTGTTCAGGATCTGTTTCCCTCACTAAACTGTGAGCTCTGGGAGGGCAGGAACCATGTTGGTTTAGTTCCCCCATGGCTTCTCCAGCACCTAGCACGTAGTAGGCACTCAGGAAACATTTTTTTAACTAAAAGAAGGCTCTTATTATAAAGCTTCTGAAACTGATATTATCATTGTGTTGTACAAATATGGAAACCAAGGCTCAGAGAGAGGAAGTGACTTGCCTGAGGTCGCACAGCTAGAGAAGGACCAGCTGGTACTGAAAGCCACTCCTGGGCCCGATTCTACTGACTCTCATGTTGACTCATTCATTCCTGACAATGGTATTTGCCCATCTCTTTTTTCAAGAAAACATTTATTAGAAAAGTGCATCAGTGAATTTTCACAGCCCAACACATTCATAGAACCAACACCCAGCTCAAGATAGAGACATGTTTGCTGGGCCCAAGTGGCTCAGTGTCATCCTGAGCACTGAAGGGTTGTCGGTTCGATTCCGGTTCAGGGCACATGCCTGGGTTGTGGGTTCGATCCCTGGTCAGGGAACATGCGGAAGGCAGCCGACTGATATTTCTCTCTCGCATCGATGTTTTTCTCTCTCTGTCTCCCTCCCTCGCTCTTCCTTCCTCTCTCTAAGGATGTCCTTAAGTGAGAATTAAAAATAAGAAATAGACCTATAAAATTTATGTTATGTGACTTTCACCTCAATTTTAAAAGCCATAAAAACTATATCAGTTCCCAAAGCCTCTCATACCTCCTTTCCCTAGCCCCTCCAAAGGAAACTGACATCCTGACTTATTGGACATAGTTTTGTCTGCTTTGGAGCTTTATATAAATGGAACAATACAGTGTATAGTTTTCTCTTTTTTTTCTTTTTATTTATTTATTTATTTGCTTAGCAGTGCTTGTAATTCATCTGAGTTCAATCATTCAGTAGTTTGTTCATTCTTATTGCTGCACGGTATTCCACTGTGGGAACAGACCACAATTTGCTCATTCTAGGGTATATGGACACTTGGGTTGTTGTCAGTTTGGGACTATTACGAATAGTCTATTGGGTGAACTGCTGGGTCAGAGGAGAGCTGTACAGTCAATGTTTGTCGACCAAACAGTTTTCCAACTTGAATGAATTGGTCTGCGCTCTAACCAGCAGTGGATGACAGTTCCAGGGGCTCGATGTTCACCGCAGCACTTGAACAACAGGTGCCCATCTTGCAAAGAAGGCCACTGAGGCTCTGAGAGGGGCATATGCTGCCGCCTCTGGTCAGTGAGAGATCTGGGTTCCTGCTCTGGCACCTCCTCTCCTCCTGCATCCTGCCCACACTGTGCCCTCCCAACCTGGCCGTGGGGTGGGGTGGGACAGACAGGGTCACGTGGAGTAGCGTTCAGCAGGAGGAAGCCAGGCAGTGCGCAGAAGGCTGTTGCCGCTCGGGCTGATCAGGAAATCAAGGTAAGAGAGGGAGTGTGTGTGGCCCCCAAGGGGATTTTCTGGGGGCAGGGCTGAGACTGGGGAGGGGGCCGAGATGAAGGCAGCATGTGGGCAGACACGAGACGGAACTGTCACCCTCTTGTTCCCCAGGAGAATCCCCACCATGGACCCACTAGCAAGAAGCCAGTCCTCCAAAACCCAGCATGCAGCCCAAACTCCGCTAACCTCCTATCGCTGGCACACAGGAGGTGGTGGAGAGAAGGGAGCTGGAGGGTTCCACTGGGGCCGCCTTGCCAGCTGGGGGAGGGCACTGAGCCACCAGGAGCCCATGGTCAGCAGCCAACCTGCCCGTCGCTCGCTGTTCCGTCGTGTCAGCTCTGCGCCCCCCAAGGAGTCTCGCAGGAACCACCTCAGATTATCCAAGACCCTCTGGGGGAGGCATAAGAGCCCATCATTGGAGGCAGAGCCGGAGCCAGAAGCCTCAGGTACATGGCTCCCTCATTCAGAGCTGGGGCTGGGCTGGGAGACCGGATGCTTTGGGTTTTGTCTGCCTCCAGAGCATCAGCCATACAGACACAGGAAGTTGTGGGGAGTGCAAGAAGCCCAACAGGAAGTGGCTGGGGCCCAGCTGCCCTCTTCCCTCTTTCCCCCTTACCCTGGGCCTGGGGGTGTGGGGTGGGGCCAAGGAGCTGTGGGCAAAGGGGTCCAGCCTGGGGAAGACACAGAGAATGAATAGACTGATGATAGCACTATCCAGATGCCAAATGGCTCTTGGCCCCAACTGGTCTCTTGTCATATCCACTGGTTCACTCTCATCCTCTCCTGCCTGGATGTCCATCTCAGCCTCCTCCTGCTCTCCTGCCCTCCAGCTTCCATGTTTTAGTTTCTTCACTTCCTTGGGCCTCAGCTTCCCCATCAATGAAGTGGGAATCATGATCCCTACCTTGAAGGGTATATGATTTCCTTCATTCATTTATTCATTCATTGAAACAGAGGCCTGTTGAGCATTGACTATATGCCCTGATTTAGGCACTGAGGAAAACAGCGGTGACTAAAAGAGATGTCACTGGCTGCCCCATGAGACTCACAGTGTAGTGGGCACAAAAGACAGTAACAAGTATAAACAAGAAAACGACAGATAGAGCTCAGTGTCTCACAGAGGGATCTAGAAGGGTATCATGAGGATTGGAGCTCTAGAGCATGAAGCACTAGCCCAGTGTCCAGCATATTTTAAGTGGTCCATGAACAGTGGGAGTTATTTCTCCCCCTAGTGGTAAAACAATAGGACAGATGGGTCATCTGGGAGGGTTGGTTCAGCTCTACTCTTCCTGGAAGCTCATTTAATGCTCACCATTCATAGTCTCATTTGGCAAAAGCATCCCTTCAACCCCCTTCCAGGGTATTAGGTATTGCCCACTCCATCGTATCCAGAGAGCGCTCTCTAACAAGCAGGCCTCATCTTTGAGCATGTGAGGATGCCCATGGCTCCTCACTACCCCCAGGATAAAACCTCTAACTGGCACCCAAGGTCCTGAACCAATCTCTTCCTGGATCTTCTCTTCTAGCCTCTGAGCCCTCCAATTTTTTTTTTTGCCCTTCCCTTTGTGTCCCTGGGCCTTGACATCTCTCAGCCTTTGATCAAGCTGTTCCTGCCACCATCCCCTCCATCTCTGTCAAAATCCAACCTGCTGTTCAAGTCCTAGCACAAACTTACTCTCTCTGGAGGCCTTTCCTGGCCTGCTGCACAACCACCACCCCCTACCCTGGCCTTTTTCTATTCCTTTCTCAAACTTTGAATGTAGTCCACCTTAGACTAGTTATTGATGTAAGGAACCAAGGCTGCTGTCCTGTTGTTTAACTTCTTGGACCTTTGTTATTCTTGCTGATACAACCACTGTCTTGGTTAAGAGAAGGATGCTTGCCCTGACCGGTTTGGCTCAGTGACTAGAGCGTCGGCCTGCGGACTGAAGGGTCCCGGGTTTGATTCCAGTCAAGGGCATGTACCTTGGTTTCGGGCACATCCCCAGTGGTGGGGGTGCAGGAGGCAGCTGGTCAATGTTTCTCTCATCGATGTTTCTAACTCTCTATCCCTCTCCCTTCCTCTCTGTAAAAAGTCAATAAAATATATTTTTAAAAAAGAGAGAGAAGGATGCTTATGTCTGAGGTCCAGCTCAGTCACTCACAAGCTGTGTGAACCTGGGCAAGTCATTCCATCTCTCTAGGCTTCAGTTTCCTTCTTGGTAAAATGGGGCTGATAATAGCCCTTTCAATGGCTTTGGGGGATTAAATGAGAGAAGGCGTGTGGAGCAGTGAACACGGTACAGGTCACACAGTAGGTGGGCTGAGTCAGTGGAGACAAGGTCCAGAGAGTTTTGCTCAACGACTACCTGACATGGCTGCCTTGGGGGAGTGAGGGGAAGAGGAGGCAATTAGGAGGGAGCCCCGCTGAGCTTTGGTGAATGGAAAGGGGGGTCTGAGGTTCAGGAAGAAGTCCCAGTACCCCAGCACCTTTTCCTCCACCCAGAGCCTGAGCCAGAGCCGGAGCCCGCGATGTGCCCGTCTGGAACATCGAAGCCTTCACTCTGCTCGATGGGAGGCTGGTGCTGCTTGGGGGTGAGGAAGAGGTGAGAGAGGGCCTGTGGGTAAGGGGAAGGAAGGAGGGGAAGGAAGGAGGGGAAGGAAGGAGGGGAAGGAATGGGATAATAGGAAGCGTCTGCCTCTCCCTCGACCTGCCTGCCTGCCTTCCCTTCCTGACTACCCACTCCCACGGAGGAACAGGGTCCTCGCCAGTCCAGGGTGGGGAGCGCCAGCTCTGAGAGCAGCATCCAGGTGGCCTTGGGGAACCTCAGGGAGGCAGGTAAGTAAGTGTGAGAGGTGAGGAGGGCTGGGGCATGTGGGAGCGTGTCAGGGTGGGTCAGAATCCAAGACGATCCCATCTCCCAACCTTCCATCCCCGAACACCACAGACCGAGTCGCTGGAAAGACTGAGCCGGAGGCTGCTGGCTCCAACCAGGTCCACAACGTCCGGGTGAGGCATCCACTGGGGGATGGGGAGGTGGGGAGAGCAAATACTTCCAGACTCTCAGAGGTGAAAGGGCACTCTTCCTGGGTGATTTGGGGTGGATCACTGAACCTCTCTGGGCCTCAGGGTCTCTGTCAAAGAGAGCTAATGGGAAGACCTCCCTCTCTGGGCTGTTTGTGAGACATCAATAGAGAATGCAGGAAAGCAAACAATTGGTGCTTTAAAATGGGAGCTATTGGTGGCCTTTATTATTCTTGCTAATGCAGCCTGAGTTTGTGGTCCTCCAAGAATAGCAGATCCTCCAGGACGCCCCGAGGGAAAAGGAGCTGAAGTGGGAGCACAGGGTCCTGCTCAGCTGACACCCCTCTCCCTGTAGGGGTTGCTCAAACGGCTGAAAGAAAAGAAGAAGGCCAGGGCAGAGCTGGGAGCCAGTGCCTCTCGGGATGGGTAAGAGTCTGAGGGGCTGGCGGGGCTGGGACTCAGCATTGTCCCCTCCCCCTCCTCCCGCCTTTCACTCTGACTTTCACCACATGCCCTCTGTGTCCTGCCCTGTGCTGGGCCATACTAGGGCCACGGAAAGATCGCGGTATGGAGCCAATCCCCCATGGAAGAGTGGGAGCAGAGTCTGACACAGTAACTCTAAAACAGGAACTAAATCAAAATCCTGGGCTGAGAGTGTCAGGGGAGGAAACTGAGCCGAGGTCTGAATAATGGGTGGGAATTTACTAGGCCAAGAAGGGCGGGGACAGCGTTCCAGACAGAGGGAACAGCACCTGAAAAGGCCAAGAGGCCGGTGAAGACACAAAAATAAGTCCAGTGTGACCGGACTCCAGACAACGAAGGATTAAGTGAAGGGAAACGAAGGCTATGGTGACAAGGGCTATACTATACAAGGTCATTCAGGCCACCGTGAGAAGCTGGGTTGATCCTAAAAGTGATGGACTCAAGTCCAATTTAGGTTCAAGTCCATCCTGGCCTCCCTCCACCCTTCAGGCTGTAGGGGGTGATGCGGGGAGAAGATAGAAATGACACTCCTTCCCCCACCACCCTCTCCAGACCCCCCAGTGCTCTGGGCTCTCGGGAATCGCTGGCCACACTCTCTGAACTGGACCTGGGTGCCCAGCGGAATGTGCGGGTTTGGCCATTGCACCCCAGCCTCCTGGATGAGCCCCACTGCTTCCAGGTAAATGTGGGCAACTCTTCACATCATCCCTCGTTGGGCTTCACGCTTGGTCTCCACCGCGACCTGGAATCCGCTTCCTCAACAGGTAACCTGGGTAGGCGGGAGCCGCTGCTTCTCTTGTCGCTCGGCTGCTGAGAGAGACCGCTGGATCGAGGACCTTCGTCGCCACTTCCAGCCCAGCCAGGTCAGCACTGCGGAAGGTCCAGGCCCCAACCCTTCCACGCTTTTGCCCGCCCGCACCTGTGCAACCGCTCTCAGACCCTCCTCGTCTCGTACCAGCCCCTTGCACACGGGCCCGGGCCCTTCTTTTCAATTTGCACCCAAAGTCCCGCCGACGAGGTAGCCGCCAAATCTTCCCACCGCAGCTGCTCTTCCGCGCGCAACATCCCCGATTCTCCCGGGGGATCTTAAAACAACTAAAATAGCAGTAATAGTAAGGGCAACACTTACTATATTCTAAGTGCTTTAAATGAACTTAAATTTTTTTTTTCTTTTTGCTCAAAATCACTGTCTAAGTGGTATTACCAGTTGTACTTTATGGACCAGAAAATGAAGGCTTCGGAAAGTGAAGTCGCTTTTACTTGCCAGGATAACAGAGCCAGGGCTACTTG